GTTGTTGTTGTATCATGAGAGTTACTGAATGAGCCGGTTGTTGTTGTATCATGAGAGTTACTGAATGAGCCGGTTGTTGTTGTATCAAGAAAGTTATTGAATGAGTCGGTTGTTGTTTTATCATGAGAGTTACTGAATGAGTCGATTGTTGCTTATCATCAGATTTACTGAACGAGTCGATTGTCGTTGTATCATGAGAGTTACTGAACGAGTCGATTGTTGTTGTATCACGAGAGTTACTGAATGAGCCGGTTGCTGTTGTTGTATCATGAGAGTTACCATCGGAAACCAAAACTGGCTTCGTGAAAGGCAGAACAAAAGAGTGAGAATTTTGCTATAGAATGGCCCGAAATGACCAGTTAAGTGAATATTATAATTTTCCAGTAAGATCTTTCAAACAACATAAACCTGTTTTCACTGTTAGAACAAAATACTTTAATTAAGTTTATAACATTTTCCACACACTTATTTAATGCAGAGCAACTTGTATTTCAATAACAAACAAACTCGAATCAAGCGTGGGCATAACCAACTGTGGGGATTCTTTAAAGCTGTTATTGGCTGTTTACATTTCTATATGGTCATGTTCCTTTGGTAATGTTGAGTAAACCCGACACAATCCTATTAACCTAACTATCGAACAGACACTACATGAAAACATGGTACCTAACATGAGTGTGTTTTTAATGAAGGAAAACCGAGACCGGGTAGGATTCGACCCCTCGACTTTGTATGTATACATGTACGCATGTGTATATTACCTAAAGCAAACTGGAGACCTAACACAAATCTTGTACTAAAGTGTGACAGTCAGACATATTACCAACACGTGACAAACGCCATATTCCCCACACGGCGGTCAAATATGACGAATAACCACTAGGTCAGATGTGAGAGGTTTAACCTACCTGTAGGTAATTCAACGTACTAACACTATTGAATTATTTACAAACCTATATGTGTACTATGACACTTTGCTAGGAGGTTCATTACCTCTTGCCACTCCCCTGCTGACCACTCAGGACATTGATCCATGCTGCATTGTATAGCTTCTACTGGTTTTTTGGTCGATTCACACTGGTCGCTCATTTTTCCAAGTTCGTCATAGCACGCCACCTGGCGGCGCTGTATTCCACCATTACACGTCCGTGAACACTGGTTTAATGTAGAATATTACATGGTCATTTTCAATGGAGTACTAAGTTGGTGGCTAACAAGTACAACAACCATTAATAACTTCTCTGTTAAATGTTAAGTATCACTTCTAGTGTATCGAGACTCATCCTATTCTTATTTATTACTTATCCGTCCTCGGAATAAACCTTCTATTACATTGGAGTTTATTGTGCCATATATATATATATATATAAGCTTTACTATATTAGAGTTTATTCTGTTATTTATCTGTTATATTCCTTAGTTCTACTATATTGCAGTTTATTCTGTTATAGTCCTTAGCTCTACTATATTGCAGTTTATTCTGTTATATTCCTTAGTTCTACTATATTGGAGTTTATTTTGTTATAGTCCTTAGTTCTACTATATTGGAGTTTATTTTGTTATAGTCCTTAGTTCTACTATATTGGAGTTTATTCTGTTATAGTCCTTAGCTCTACTATATTGGAGTTTATTCTTTTATTTATCTGGTATAGTCCTTAGCTCTACTATATTGAGGTTTATTCTTTTATTTATCTGTTATAGTCCTTAGCTCTACTATATTGCAGTTTATTCTGTTCTAGTCCTTAGTTCTACTATATTGGAGTTTATTTTGTTAGTTATCTGTTGTAGTCCTTAAAGGCAATTTTTTCCAGAATATCTACTCTACAGAATTGGAGTTTTATTTGTTTCCTATTACTTACTGCTCCCCAAGGCCCTGTTCTCCAGAAAAAGCCTTCGACTTTATTGTGAATGATATCTCCAAACCTTCTGAAAACTCCAGGAATCTTGGAGCATTCTGGCAGATTACATATCTTCTCACCTTCCGGACGAGTCAAGGGTTCACAATTCTGATCGTAGCCTTGAGTTCCATCCAATAAAATACAGACTACATGCCTCGTCATAATTCCTTGGCCACAAGTTGCCCGACACTAAGAAAGGATCAGTTTGGATTAAAGCCTACAAAGCAAGAACTTTTATGCAACTACAAAGTTTACACACACACACACAAGAGGTGTGTCTTCAAAACTATTATATCAATTACATTAATTGTCAATAGACGATCAAAATCAGCACTATAAAACAATAATGAACTTAATATAAGAAAATTCAAAACTATATTTAAAGAAACAAAAAAAACCTTCGCTCTTTCCCGTCATTATCCAAAAGTCATAACGGAGATTGTCTGACTGCTAACCGGTTTTCATCTGCTTTTTGGATTTTATCTGATAGATGGGATATCCCCAACGCTTTTGGGTGCTATTAACACAGGTAATCTTCGTTAGGACTTTTGGATAATAACCGGAAAGTGCAAAGGTTTTCTTGCTTCTTTCAATAGTTTTGAATTTTCTTACATTTATATATATATATATTGTGATTCAACTTATACTTATTTCCGACATCGACTTTCGTTTACTCCTCAACTTGATGGTGCATTAACGACCTATGCTGAGCATTTCTCTTCCTCTCTATCCATATTTGTATCTGTCCGTTGATATAATACATAACTAATGTGTTTACCAGAGCTCAAATATAAACAACTTTCATATAATTATTTTTTTAAATTCTCTTACCCAACTATTTATATATATATATAGAGAGAGAGAGAGTTTGAGCACATTAAGTTAACATTATTTAAGAGCATCGCCATGTCTCCATGTTCGTTCATGTACTATCTGACATCCGTGGATCTTGACAATAGTCCTGCAACGCAGTTTCCATTGCAAAAGTTCTGTCGTTAGACTTTCAAGTCAAATGCACAATATTAATTTGCATACTTTCCATAATACATCTGGTGTAGGAGAACGACAGTTCCCAGCATTCGATTCAACAGTCCCGGAGACTTGATCCGCATGTCTTAGTATGAAATAACAGTAATACTCGTTTCATTCTCTAGCTGTTGGAAGTATGTGTTGGTTGAATAGCTATATTGTGGAAGTATCTTCTGTGCAAATGATTTGTGTAGCTGTAGCTTTTCCAGACAAAGATCCTTCTTAATTATGATGTGCACTGTTGCTTGGGGCATGTGGACGCCATTTGCCACTGACCATTGTGTTCGTAGGTTCTCATCTTTTACAAAACATCACACTCTGTTTACCACGGCCGAGGTATGACTCGTTACAGGTCTCTTTCTGAATAATTCTGGTGTCCCTAGTTGATACATATTTTTTTTGTTTTCCATTGTCATTAAGCACAATGAATATCCCAGTAATGAAAATTCTAAATCCTTTTTGTGAACACATTTTTATAAACTGAGTGTATAAATATTTCGCGTCGGAAAGGGCTGTTACATACACTTCCCAAAAGCGACCAACATTCGTTAGAGTCACGTTATTTACGTATAACTCCAAACTGTCAAAATGTAGTTCTGACACATTCCGTTACACCATGACTTTATAACGGCTGTGGTTTTCACGGGACTTGCTGATTTGAATATTCAAAACTGGTTTAATATAACTTATAAAACGATTTTATTCAAATTTTTCATACATGAGATTCATTTCTCTTTATATTACATATTTGATGTTCCAATTTTGTACTTTATATTACTCTTCAGGAGACTTAATAACTGATTTTTACTACAAACCTACTAATTCACATGGTAATTTAACTTTTTTATCAGTCATCTTAAGCACTGCAGACTAAATGTACCTTTTTGTTTGGCCAAAAACATTGGACTTTAGTCTCAGAACGAAGTGTTTCAGAAGATAAACCTAAGAAAGCTCATTTTTGAATTGCCATTATCTATATAAAGTCATTGAAAGAAGTTTCATTAAAGCCAAAGAAAATTATAATACAAATTATACTGAAGTGGAAAAATAGAAAACTTTTATTCTTGTCCTTTATACATATCACCAAAATGTTCGAATAGATTATAAATATATTCCAAAACAATTAGAGGAGATAGTTAATAAAAAGTGAAAAGAAGCTTTTAAGAATTATAAAGTAATTTTGTTATCAAAAATACAACCTGAAAGTATATAGAGACTACTAAGTACGATAAAGAGTAAATCTAGGAAAGAACGACTATCATCATGAAAAAAAAAAGTAATGTTAATTATGCCTTAAAGAGTATACCAAAAAAGGTATATATATATTCCAGATACAGGGGATATTTTACATAAGATTTAGCTTTCGTGTTTCTTCAAGAAACGTTACTTATGCTTCAGTTTGTCACATCTGAGGATAAACGTATGTTGGAGAAACCGAAAACCTGAGAGGAAAATTAAATTTACATAAATATCATGTAAGAAATACAAACGTGAGCCCAATACCAATCAGTTTCCACTTTAATAACTGTTTTCGTCAAAAATTTAAAAGAATCTTTTTTCGTCGAGTACACTCCCCTTTGCTTATGTAACAACAAAACAAGAAGAGTGTAATATGAAAAAAATAACTTATCAATATATTTTAAAGTTCTCTAAATAACAGTTAATTCAAAAACAATAGACAGCGAATACAAAAAAAATACCCATCCTTTGTGAAGTGCGGATTTAGTTTTTGGTTGTGGATATATTGATAAACCGAATTCCGTCACCAAACATGCTCATCCTTTTAGCTGTGTTGGGACGTTATAATGTGACGGTCAATCCCATTATTCGTAGGTAAAAGAGTAGCCCAAGAATTGGTGGTGGGTGATGTTAACTAACAGTCTTCCCTATAGTCTATCACTTATAAGTTAGGGATGGCTAGCACAGATAGCCCTCGAGTAGCTTTGGGCGAAATTCAATAAACAAACGAACATTGATAAACGTCAGTTAAGAAAAAAAAATCAATTTGTAAGTGAAGATAATTACTGTAAATGTTAATTTTATCACTATAAAATGAACGATGTTACTAAAAGTTGGAAGAATATATAAATATTTTATTCGTATATGTGATTTTAACAAGTTGTATTTTATTGTATATTGTTTTATGTCACTTGGATTTCTTCGATTTTGACATCTTCGTCTCTACCCCTTTCTTCCCCCATTGCCTGATGGTCGACACATGTAACGGCGTGTTGGGCGGATGCTGCTCTAACTACTAATATAATCGTCCTTTCAGCTGTGAGAGCGTTATAATGAGATAATATTCGATTAATATTTGTTTTGTTATTAAGCACAAAGCTACGCAATGGGCCATCTGCGCCGTGTCAGTCACAGGTATCGAAACCCGGTTTTTGGCGTAAACCTTCAAACTTACTATTGAACCACTAGGGAGAGTGGGGTACTCGATTAGAATAGTCAAATAGTTAGCTGTAGATAATGTTAACTAGCTGCCTTTCCTTCTGTTTTGTCACTTTTAAATTAGGAACGGCTAGTTCAGATAGCCCCCGACAAAATCAAACAATTAGCCTTCCTGTGATGCTAGATCGTCCGCACACAATAGTATTTAACTTATTGTTTGTAGTTAAGCACAAACCTACACAACGGATTATCTGTGCTCTTCTCCCCCACCCCACGGGTATCGAAACCCGGTTTCTAGCGTTGTAAGTCTGCAGACATACCGCTGTGCCACTGGGGGCAAGTATTTAACAACGCCCTAAAAGAATATTCATAACGAACTGCCGTTCATAGTAGAGTTTTAGGTAATATCTAATGTATTCAAAATACTAACTTATAACTACTAAAAAGCATAAATGTTAAGCTCAACAAAAATAACCTTAATTTAGTTGGAAAGAGACTACATCGCAAGATAAAAGAAAATATACCACAACTAATCGCCCCCCAGTGGCACAGCGGTATGTCTGCGGACTTACAAAGCTAGAATCCAGGTTTCGATACCCGTGGTGGGCAGAGCACAGATAGCCCGTTGTGTAGCTTTGTGCTTAATTACAAACACAACTAATCCTTCCATTTATATTACTCATGACTGTAATTTTATTGCTTCTTTCTCATCAAACTTCTTGCATTGCACATATAGCACTGAAATGTATCTCGCATCTAATATTCGTAAGTTTAAAAATAAACACATTTTTAACAGAAACATGATACCATTCTCTTATGTAATACTGAAGTAATCGCCGTGGACCAGAACATAACTTTTAAAAGCTGTCTGAACATATTTATTACTAAATCGTGCTCTGTAATTTGAATCTACACTCTGATAAGCTACGATCAGCGAATATACACATATTAGTGTACATTACAGCAATGGAAATAAATGATCATATTTCAATCTCTCCAAGATGTTCGTTGGTCATTTTGGGTTTTAAGGGAACACTTGACTACACACGTGGAAACCAACACCCACTTAGTCTCTGAAGATTTCTCACCAAACTATCATTTCTGGTAAACACGTTATAAGAGAACAGTTGGGATGATTATATTGGTAGGTGTCAATAACGGTGTCAGTTAAACTTTGTGAAAACCCATTAAGTTAAAATACTTATTTGATGTTTTAAAATTCTTAATGAAATGCAAAATAAAAACTACCAATCTTATATAACATGCTTTGTTAAAATGACGTCCCAACAAATTAACTGTCGAACCTTTTTTCATTAAGGTGTGACCTTAATCTATTAATCAGGTGAATCTTTAAGCAAACTTTTCTCATCGCTACCTCTTGTTCGAATTTTATATGAGCTATGTATTTGGGGGGTGGAGAGGGTCAGTAATTACTGCATACATATTCATCAATTTATTGGAAGAGTGACAAGTGATCCTTATTTTTTAAATGTAACAACTTCATTTAATTGTTCGTTAGCATAAGTTAGTCAATGCACTGACCTAATTATTCAAACTTGTAGTCAGTATAAAATTTCAAGAATTTAAAAGTTTTCCTACGTTTTTATTTGATGTTAATTGCTAGCTTTTGTTGACTGCAGAATGATTAAGGACCATTAAGCAACGTTAATTTTTACACTAAATATATAAGCCAAAATTATGAACTTTTTATTTGTAACAAATTCTGGGAGCTTATAACTAATTCTTATTAAGTTTTTAA